GCTGGAGAACATTGCTAATAGATATAATAATGCTGATCTTGATATTCTAAAATGTTTACAAAGCTAGTATATGATTTATTTTCTACTAATGTAATACATAACAATGAAACTGTACTTTACTTGACTAAGTTCCAAGGTTGTCAGACAACAGGTTACATTGTTTTTGTCTTTAAGTTTACAAATACAGTGTTCATTTGCATCAATTTATTCTCCTTTACCTTGTTTATGACATTCTCTTGATACAGATTTTGGTATATTATAATATTTACTAATGGCTTAACATGCAACTTATTTGCTGCTAGTGGTTGATATATAATTCTGGAAATTGTTCAATTACTGTCACTGACTGAAAGCTGTCAGATTAATCAGTAATATTTAATTTTGACAAATATTTACTAGAATGTTCTTCAATACTAATATGTAAAATTCTTTCAATGTACCTTAGCTATGTAATGTTTTTGGTTACTGTATTAATAAAATATTTTATACAGATGGGAGCAGTTGACTTTCGTTTTCAAGCCCTTAATTCTATTAAGGTCTCATAAACATAAATTGGTACATAATGCAACAAAAGAGACAGAATTGACATGTACGTACATTTTTAACTGTTTCATAAACTTGAAAAATTGTTTAACTTAATTCTGAGGTTTCTCAATTTCAAAACTGCTAATGTCACTCTCATAAACAATACTGATACACCCAATGTAAATTTCTTCACTCAAAATTAGATCTAAAGAACAAGTAAAAAAAAACTTTACTTAAAGATTTCCTAGACTTACAACATAAGATAAAAAGTGTTTTCAGTCTAGTGGATTCCATCCATTTGAATTGTATTGTCGAGTGTTTTCCCAATAATGAATTAAAAAAATACCATTTTAATCATCTGAAGAAACTAAATCCTGAAAAATGTAATAATTTATTAGATTCTTCAGATAAAGTAAATTTAACTTATCAAGCTATACACTAAGGGTAGCAGAAAAAAAAGATTTTTGTCAGGGGGTTTAAAATATTTTCTAGTACAAGGAAAACTTTAGTACATTTTGAACTCTTGTTAAGAAAACTTGAAATCTGTTATGATTACCCACTTTAGAACAAAACCTTTAATAATATTAAAACACATATCAACAGCCTCACCCTCTCAGGATTACATTCCTATAATTTTGGATACAAGTGTTTTAATGTCAGCAAAGAAGATAGTCCTAGATACACCTACATCTAAAAGTAATAGTAATTACAAAACCGGACAAAGGAAATAGCACAGTTAATTTGAATAAAGAGGACTACTATACTGACAAAGTAACACAAGTAATTAATAACATTACCAAATTTTCCAAACTATTGAAAGACCCTACTACTTCAAGAGAAAGCAAACTGATTAAATCCTTGCTAAATTTGAAAACCAAACCAGTCTTTAAACACAGACATACTTTATGGGCTACCTAAGATTCACAAATCTGATTGCCCCATTAGACCTTTAGTTTTCAATATAGATTGTTTCAATTCGAAAACGTAACCGTGTTACGAAATGTTGAGCTAGTGCTATAAATTTAAAACTAATGCTCTGGATGATAATACTTATAACAACATTAAACCAGTCAGTTTAAACACAGACATACTTTATGGGCTACCTAAGATTCACAAATCTGATTGCCCCATTAGACCTTTAGTTTTCAATATAGATTGTTTCAATTCGAAAACGTAACCGTGTTACGAAATGTTGAGCTAGTGCATCGAACCTGCTAAGCCTTGATGTAAGCCTCGTTTATTCTTCTGGGTGGAGAGGGTAGAGATACTAATTCTTTTAAGCTTCAAATATGAATTTTTGAAGACCAAAAAGTTATCAGATTACTGTATTAGTACACTCAAAATTCCCTGTAATTTAGTCGGGTCTCTAAATAAACTGTATGTGGGTTAAAAAAAATCCCATTCCTGTTCTGAGCAACGACTAAATCATCACACTTCAATGGTTTGTCAAAATTATTATTTTCTCCTTCAAGCTATTTATAAACAACTGTCAGAGATAAGTAGGGGTGAAAATGTTCTTTCTATTGGTTATAAGCAGTAGCTAATTAGTAGTAGGTGGGACTAGATAAGAGCTTTCAAAAGATTAGTGCAGTGGGAGGAGCCATTCTAGTAGACTTGCTAAAAATATTGCTATCTCAGCAAATCATAGAAGAGGGAGGTTCCTATTTTATATTTAGCTTGTCTATATTTCAAATTAGAGTTTCTAATTTGTTAGCTACTTACACATGTTGTATGGTGGGGATAATAAAATGGCAACTGAACAATAAGACAACTGGATGTATTACGTGACACACAAAATCTATATTTAAAATTTTTTCTTTACATTTCCTTTTAAATTAAGAAAATAAAACATATATAATATCAAAATCTAAATTATAAACTACATTTTGATGACAATTTAATTGATGTAAGTAGTAAAAATGTTATTTAATAAAATTTTGAAAATAATGCTCCAAAACGTCGTGACACGTGCACTTTAACCTACCTGGGGTGAAAGGGTTTAATAGTGATAGTAGTTTATCCAGAAATATGATTCCATTATTCATTATCTGTCAAACTCGAACTGACTGATGTGGGAAAAAAAGAACTTTCACACATGAACTTAATGACTGTTTAACACTTACAGAACTGAGAGGTGACATATTAAATTTGTCAAAAATTTACTACAGCAAATAAAATACTCTTCTATTTTGGCTAAATTTCATTTTCCTTCTTAAAATAATCAAATCTTGATTAGGCTTGGTTTTTCAAAAAGTCTAATGGAAGACAGAAATAATTTAATTTAAAAAAAGAAGAATTACATACACTTAAGTAAAGTTAGAGCAAAAATGATTAAGCTTTTTTTTTTTCATCCATGTCTTGGCTAGACATAATGGCAGTTCTTACACTTTAGACAACCCAATCACTCTCAATTGAAATTCTTTGTTTTCTCTGTCAGTTTTCTTCTATATCTGATTATGATATGTCTATCTACAGAGTGAGCTGAGTATTTGTGAGATCATTTGTAGGCTAACCAGAACTATGAATAAACCATCTGAACAAGAATGAGTGAGCAGCCTGTGTATATAGTTTTTACTGCTTTGTGTCACCAATAATTGAAAGACATGTATTTTTTAAAACCCTAATAAGCCTCTATGCAAAGATATTTACTTAAACAAAACCAAGTAAAATCCTGGGAGTACTAATAAGCAGATTAGACTCTAATCACTAATAGTTAATTTGAAGCTCCTTATAACTGAGATCAAACATTATTATGAAACAAGAATACAAAGACAAAAACAATAACCTAAATTGTAACAGAAATCTTAAGCATGACCATAGATAACTTAATACTAACTGTTTCTCTGGAAAGGAAAATTTACATAAGCTAATTAAAGCCCTTGACTCAAGATTTTTGGAGAAAAAAAAATTGTAAAAAGTACATAAAATAAGATAAATAGAAGAAAAATAGACAGATATAAAAAATCTAAACCTACCTAACTAAACAGAGTAGTAAAACTTACCTTCAAGTTCTATGAATGCCTTACAAAACACTAATTGTTAAACTGGTTTGGTGGAAAAATTTAAAAGATCAATTTATGTAAACAGAAAACACTAATAATTAATGATAAGTAAAGAGAGAAAGGGAGCAATAAGAAAATTATACAAACACTTTAAGACGTAGCATACTCAAATTAAAATAATAAGTTATCCAAGACATTACATTGCAGAAATTTACTATTTGAATCTCAACTAATTAAACACAGAAAGAAATGCAAACAGGTTCATAAAATAAGATAAATAGATAAAAACTAGACAGATATAAAAAATCTAAACCTACCTAACTAAACAGAATATTAAACTAAACAAATATTACAGAATACACTATTTAATTTTTTATCTAATACCTTACAAAGTATGAAAACCATTTCTATATTTTCTGATAATAATAATAACGTAGTAATTATTTGCCTAGTGATGGGAATATTTTCAATAATGTGCCACTAGACAAAAAATATCCAATTGTTGGACACAAAATGGAACTGGAATGCCAATAGCATTTCTATTTTGATATAAAAAAATTCCAATACTATTACTGGTCAATCAACTATGCATAGTTATGTCCTTGTTAATGGTTATTTTTCCATAAATACTGACTTAAAACTTTAGATTAGTGACTAAGTACAATATTAATACAATTAAGTCAGACTTTTGTACTATAATAAACCTGGAAAAAAATATATAATAATAATAACAGCAATGAAAAAAATGATATACAGAACAAAACTTCATGTTAACTTTAGATACAATTTTTTTGGGTATGGTAAGTTGATATCACTTTTCACTTGCCTAATTTTAACTTGTACTTGCTTTGCTTAACATTTTTTTGTATTATAAGGTCAAAATGATTCATATGTGAAAATAATACTTCTACTATTACTTGTTGTTTATTGCAGAGGGTAGGAAAGTGAATGACTGTGATGCATGTATTTAGAACAGAGACTTCAGTCACTAAACAAATCATTTGAAAACAAAAACATCTGCTACAATCAAAATGAATTAAATCTGCAAAAACAATATCTGATAACCACAGTTAACTGAGTACTGTTAAACACCACTCCAAACTGCATGCTGATAAAAATTCATTTTGTTCAAAAGCTGGTAATTTACAATTCTAGATGATGTGTAGAACAATTCACATATAGATGAAAACAAGTATAAGATTCCAGAAATTTTTGGTTTATTTTTTTTTCCAGTACTTTATGCAGGAAGATTAGCTGCTTGGTAAAAGCAATGCAAGGTAAAAAATATTAACTTTTTTTAAAATTTGGAACTACTTAGCTAAATGAGACTTAACTGTTACAGGTAATTTGAAAATCATAAATGAAGCCATATTTATAAAGTAAAACTAACTTCTATAACAGTCTTAGTTTAATGAAATAATATTATTTTATTTCTACTTTGCATGAATTTAAATAGAAAGAAGAAATCGGTACCCTTTCAGCAATTCTTTCATCTTTTGACAAAGTAACAATGGCTTTAATGTCCTCATCAGTTAGATTCCTGGTAGCTACTTTGTCATCTTTCTTAACAATGTGGTTGGCCATAATGACAGTAGCAAAAACTGGAAACCCATTACTGATGTTTAAAGATCCATCATAACTATTGGTGTAAACACCAGTCAGTTCCTAGAAATTGATTATGAGATAGTTGAAATTATTTGTTTCACATATAATTCATGTAAAATATTTAACTTATTAAATGTGATTGCTTAAAACATAAATTTTTCTAGGTGTTTGCCAAAAATTTATGAATACTTACCACATTTTTAAACAAATAAAAAAATCAATTTTTTTTATAGATTACTATGAAATTGTACTTTTAATAACAAATTTAGGCTTTATACCAGATTGATACAAATAAAACACAAAGTACAATACTTTTCAACTTCCATACCAAAATATGCAAACTGTATCCAAATGGACATTACATTACCATGTGAGCATACAATACGGATATATAAAATTTTACAAACAACACTTACTATTTCATCTCCTGGCTTACACATATCACATAAATCTCCTAGTAAAACTGCATCTTTAGACCTTGGCAACCTGCCAGCAGCTATCTTTCCAGGGCTTTCTTGAAGCATGATACGCTGATAGTTCTGGTAAACAGTCTGTAGGAGGGAAACATTATGATAACTAAGTTACTGTATGGTATTTTTGGTAACAGTCTGTAGGAGGGAAACATTATCATCACTAAGTTATTGTATGGTATTTTGGGTGAACAGTCTGTAGGAGGGAAACATTATCATCACTAAGTTATTGTATGGTATTTTTGGTTAACAGTCTGTAGGAGGGAAACATCATCACTAAGTTACTGTATGGTATTTTTAGTGAAGTCTGTAGGAGGGGAAACATTATCATCACTAAGTTATTGTATGGTAGTTCATGTAAACAGTCTACTGCAGGGAAACAATCTGTTAACTAACTAACTAGCTATGTGGTAGTTCTGATAAACAAACTGTTGGAGTGGAATAATCTAATGAAGCAACTGACAGTAAAACAGACAGTCACCAGAAAGTGTATTAAAGTAGACAAAATATCAAATCTGATAATACAACTCTTTCAACTTCTATTCAAACAACAAACAAACATATGCAATACAACATGATCTTACACTTAATTTGGACTAAAACATTAAAGCTACCATATACATTACAATCTCAGTTCTAACCTCTTCCATATTGATTGTGAATGGACCTGTGCTCTGACACTCAGGACATGAGCCTGGTTTGATTTCTTGGCTTTGGCTTTGAACAAAAGGTCCTAAGATGTAGTTGCATTTATTACAGTTGTACTTAATTAGAGAAAGTTGAGGTAAAATCCCAGTGGTACTGGTCACCACACCACTAGTTCGAACCAGTTGATTCAAATGGAGTTGCCTGAAATTATTAAAGAGGATATTAAAGATTTATTATATTCAGAAATTAAAAGACTTATCAACATTAGAAAGCAATGTATTTACTTATTATCAGTGAGGAATAAAGTTAAAACTATCCAAGTTTTTCATATTTCTTGTTGAAGAGTTAGAAGTGTCCAACTCATATTATAATGACATAGATTAAAAATGTTGCTGATTTTAAGAAAGGTGATGCATACTTTTAATTATACCTATAAGACTTGTTTCTTACTTAAAAACCTAAAATTTCAAGAAAAAGTTGAATAAAGTCTATAATTCATATTAAAAGTGTAGAAACAAAGAAAATGTTCAAACATTTCTCTGATGCTTTTCTGACCAACCTCAAACTGCGGAGTTCTTCTACCAAGGGTAAATCTGTGATGCGAACATAAATCTCTTTTGCAATTCTTTCATACTGAGGAAACATACTGAGAACTACATCTTTTGCTGCCTGGTCAAACACTTTTAACATTTCTGCTGGAGCTTCTGGAAGAAAGTAGGCAAGAACCTGTTCTTCTGAAGCAAGTATGTTGTAATCAACCTCAAAGCTATGTTTGTTATCTGAAAGGTAAATAAAACTTGATCATTCAAATATGTTGTTGTTATGAAAAAATAATGTTAAGAAGAGGTAAACAGTTTTAATACCAAACATTTTAACAATTCATCTTATAAGGAAGAGTTAAATGAAACATGTTTTTGTTAATAATATTTTCCTGAACACTTTTATCATCAAATAATGTAATGATCTTACCTTCACACATTTGACGTATTTTCTCACGGTACAAGTTATGGCCTTTAGCATCAACAAATGTTCTCAGAAAATTTTTGAAACGGTTATAGATTTCTGTTCTTGGCCCTAGTAAAGATACCCATTCCCGTACAGAATGCCCACGCATATCCTCTAAGTTTTCTATACTTTCTACCATCTAAAAATACACAACAAAATTTCAGGTATTCATATTTCTGATACATTACTTTCAACTAGAAAAGAAAAAAGCCTGAAAGTTAGCTTTCCCTTCAATAATTTCTATCAACTCTGTAAAAGCAGGATGTCTAACGAACATTTCTCTATATACTTACATTTCCTATTTATTTCAAAATAGCTGAAGATAAGAAACACACCTGGCAGAATTATTTTTATGCATTTGATGAAAAACTACTACTTGCTTAGATGTCAAATCACACTTTGTGTCTCAAATAAAAGACTGTAGGATCACTTGACAAAAGAATATAGTGTATAAAAACCTTACATATATACATACACACACACAAGTATAATAAAAAAACATTAAATTTTATAAAGTAGGGATCAATATATACATAAATTAGCTAGCTATAGTAATATAAAAATTTTAATGCTACAAAAAGTATTGAAACAGGAAAGACAAAAATACAAAAACTAAGTTTACATAACAGTGAGTGGGAAGTAATATAAAAATAAAATTGCCTTATTTTATTCTGGAAGATGTGTTTATTCTAATGCCTGAATATTTTACTTGGGGCACAATGATCTGGAGTAAAATCAGGATGATCTGCTTTGCAGGTAAAAGCTATAGTTCTTTGTTCAAAGAAGCTGCAACATAATGGTAATAACATTGTAACATATTAGAAATAATAGAGTACTGTGCAAAAGTGTTAGGACAAAGTCAAAATTTTGATTTCAGG